GGAAAGGCCCAAAGCGGCGGTCTGCGTAAGCGCACTCCGCCCACCGACAGCATGCCATGGCCGGCGAGGGACACAAAAAGAGCGCTTTGAGCTTTGAGCCCGTGTCGGGCTTGCGGAAGTCAGCACTTCTTGTAAATAGAAGCCACCACAAGCACCACACCTTCTGCTCCTTGTGCAGAACAACGGGGAGACCCCTGGACAGGCACTGCGGCAAGATGTCAAGCGTCCTGAAAGTCATAAGCGTCAAGCGGGAGTGGCCTGCCGTTATTCCAGACTGTGATGAGGCCCTGCTTTTGATCGATGTCCACTTTGATGGTGTCCATGCCCTGCGCGACTCGCAAGAGCGAAGCAGCAGAGCAGCAGGGTCCCGCCGCCCCGCCTGTGGGTCCCGCATGAGGTTGTCTGCGGCATTCACCAGGATTTCATCGAAGATTTTGTAAAGAGCAGGTACCTGGAAAGCGACATCTTCCGACATCCCGGCACATGACAAGCACCCCCGTGCGCACGAAGCTAATCTTTCGATGCACCATGCGACTCTGCACACCATCGAAAACCCAGAGGTCCTCGAAAACGTCAACAGCTTCGGTTGCACTTGTGCAGTAAAGCATAAGCTGAACCCCTGCCTGAATCTGGGCTTCCGTCGAACCCACATAGGTGTCAGGTCGGAGTAGAATATGTTCTAGCCTATACAAAGCCAAAGCAACGTGGGAGCTGTGCGTGTTCCTCTACGACTCTACACCTTCGTCCTTGCCGGGCTGACACGAGACCTGAGGTTGCCGCTGGGTCTTCTTCTGGTAGATCTGCTCGATGGACTTGCCTTCACGTCCTGCGCTAGGTCCAGTCAGACGTCCGCGACGGTCTACGTCAACAGGCTGGAGCGGCTGCCTTTAGTATGAGATGCATTGGCCATCTGCACACCGTGTCTCACTGTGCACAGTTAAGACATCCATGCTACCACAAACCCTCACGCTTGAGCCCAGGCATGCCGAAACAAGACTCAAGCCGCTAGGAAGAGCTGGGGCATCAGAAGGACCCACAGGACTTTGCAACTCCCTTTTCAGCCGAGCGTCTCTAGCGCTGCAGCTCACAACAGCGCGGCTTCAGATCGGAAGCCTCACGCATGGGGCACTTCGACTCGAGACCTCGGTGACCCCCCCGGCATGCCGTTGCCAGGTCCGTTTCTGTGGGCCCAAAGCCGCCGCTACTGTAGCCTACAGGGCCGAGTGCACCTGTTTTCCTGCACTTTGCCGCTGGTCGACTTTGCCCTCCGGCATCCCGATGCTTCTTGGAGTGGCCGCTGGAGTCTGGGGAGTCCGGACTTACCGATCCCGGGGCCGTGATTCCGTGATTCACGGTACAGGCAGTGGAGGAAACGCCGAGAGCAGCGAGAGGGACAGGTCGTCGCGAGGACCGCGAGGAATTTCCCCATTGCCCTCATCTCTTCCAAAGCTGTGCCACCTGAGCAAAACGCACAAAACAGGGCGCGCGCGTTCTCCGCTCCGCAACCCCCCCCCCTCTCCCCCTTCGCCTTCGGCTCGTCGCTCTTCCAGCGGAAGACCGCCTCGAAGGCGAGCGCCTGTGAGACGCAGGAGGAGAGAGGGAGAGGAGGGAGGGAGGAGGGAGGAGGAAAGGGTTTCTCTGCGTCCCCGGGGGCATTGAAGGGCGGCTTGGTGACGTCGAAGGACAAGAGCTGCCCTGGCCTCAGCGCCACAATGTTCTTCCATGTCCATCCTTCTAGACCCTGAGCGCAGGGCTCAATGTCCACCATGTCTCGTATGGCAACGGGCGGCACTTCGTTCTGCACGAGCCTTTGCCACGATGGGCCCCGCTCAGCCGCTCGGCTTTGAGTCTCTCTGGTCGCTCTCGCTCTCGAGGCTCGCACATCACCATCCTGTACTTGGCAGAGTTGACGCTCTTCTCGAGGAAGCTGTGCACCGCTCGGTTGGGTCTCAGGTGTTGCTTGCATCCGTTTTGGCCAAGGCGGCCAAGGCGGCTAAGGCGGCCAAGGCGGCTAAGGCTTGCACAAGTGCATCAATACATCCTGCGCAACAGCAACGCGAGGCGTAACGCGGGGAAGACCCGGGCCTGGGCCGGGGCTCTCCGGACTCCGGTCCTTCACCAGCAGAAGCTCCGCCGGCGGAAGCTGCTCGGAGACCTGCGCTTGGCCAGCCGCAGCCGCACCCCCGCTTCCGCTTGCAAGCTCGTTCAAAGTCTCGAAAGCTCTGGCTCTGGCATCGCCGCAGAGAGCCCGAGCACTGGAAAGCCTCTAACGCCGCACTGGAACACGTATAGGCGACTCCGCTTGCACAGTCCCTGAGTCATGTTCCCGTGGGTCGCGAGGTTGTGCCCATCCTGTCACAGAGCTCTCTGGGTGCTGCGATCGCTTGCGCAGTGCAGCTGTCAGCGACGAATCTCCTGGAAATATGCGGCATTCTCCGCCACCACATATGGCACCACGTCGATGCCCGTATAATGCCTTGTGCAAAGAACATGATCACGCTTCCTTCGCCCTGCGACAGCCTGCGGATCCCTGAGTTTCCTGCACGCCCTGCCAGTTCATGAACCTCTGGTACCCTGAGGGCCAGTGCCCACAGCCTGATGAGGCGAAGGCGAAGAGGGGCAGAGCATGGAGCCACAGAGCCGGCAGCTGGCGGCAGGTGGCGCCTGCGTCGACCACCGAGCGCACCGAGTGGTCACGTAGGAAGGACTCCAGGAAGACCCGGAACCTAAGCCAAGCACCATGCGACATCTAGGCACATCTCGGCTGTCTGGGCCCGGCCCGCTCGCCGTCGCACTTGGGAGTCGGCTCTCGGGTGGTTTCTTCACGCGAACCCAATCCCGACCGGGCGTCGGCGCCCCACTCCTCGGCCCGGCGCGGAAAGGACCCCGACTCTCGGAGCAACTCTCCCCGCCTCGCGCGCATAGATGCGGGAGAAGTTCGCTTCCGAGGCACCAGGGACCTTGCAAGGAGGCTCCACTGATGCACTGATGCACTGGGCCAGGATGGGCCGGAGATCCGGACAGTGTCTGGCACCACCTCGAGACACAGACACGCAGACACAAACTCTAAGCGCCGGCTCTGATGCATTGGCCTTCACGGCATCACCTTGGCGCGGAGACTTCAATGATGACTCGCTTCTCTTGCCACAATCTGCATGACGTCGAGTCACTCTCTTCCCTGGCTGACGCCTGCCACCCAGTGAGCAACGCAAAAATGCCGTACAGAATGATCATCAACAACAGCCGGCTCACTCACAGCTTCGAAATCTTAACCTGAGTATTGGACCGTTCAAGAACATCAAGAACCCCGCAGCTTCCAATCTTCATCACG